TGGGCCAAGCAGGGACTGCCCGCAGGCAGCCACAGTGACATTGGTGGTGAGAGTGGGCCAAGCAGGGACTACCCGCAGGCAGCCGCGGTGGTGTCAGCAACGAAGGTGGGGGTGGCGGCAGCAGCACTGGTGGCGGTCAATCTCAGTGGGGGCATGTGCTCTCCCATTCCGCTCCTTGCATTGCCTATGGGTTAGCAGAATGCATGACTAGATGATCTCGTAAGGCCCTATCGAGTCCTTTTTTATTATGGTTCCAAGGTAGATAACATAGATGTATCTGAGTTACCTTTAAACTGGCTAGCTTGTTTGACTAATTCTATTAAGCTAGCCAGGGTGGAATACAGCTGATTTCATGTCAATCACTCATACCAAGTTTCTCAAGTTGGTTTTGCAGCCCATGCTGTGTCATATTCCACTGAATTTACACTGATAACAGTACCCAAGTTAACTGGTTTAAATCTCACTCAAGTATGTCTAAATGAGCTGCAATCAGAGTTGAATGCACTGCGATTAGGCACATGAGGCCTAATAGTTACCAGATTCCTAAGGCTTCCCACACAGGCCACTCCAATGCCTGGAATCACCCAAATGTTGTATGCTGTGGCCCTTCCTGAAATGTCTTCATACCCAAAGCCTCGCCTTCTCCACCAGAACTTGCAAGACAGACCATGGAAAGCAGCCATCTGCTGCAGAGCAAGCACCAAGAGACTTCCTCAGCTTCTCAAGTTATGAGGACCTCTTCATGCTGCTCTAAACTTTTCCCCCCAACATTAACAAACATTAAGAGAGGGCAGAGATCTCATATCAACAGCATTTTTTAAGTCATCTGGTTTTATAACACTTTTTTCCCCCTGCTTCTGGTAAAATTAAACTCCAAATATAAAAACAAATGCTTTCCAAAACTTTAGAAAAAAATAATTGAGCACATTGTCTATGTGGATTTAAGGCATGATAAGCGCAATTAAATAAACCACACCACCACTTCACTCGTGTGGCAAGATTTAAATTTTATCTTCTTTATTGCCTTTTTTGCATTGCAGAAAACTTAAAAAGTTAAACATCTTGGAAGAAATTCTAATATAATTTAAGGGATTTTCATTTTAAAACTTCACACGCAAAAATCAAGAAATCATAACGTTTGAATTAATCAGTTTACAATGTGCAACTGTAATTATTAACATTTCTTAATATCTCTTAGAGTTATGAACCAAAGTTTATTTTAGATTTACAGCTATAACATTTCATTAATTAAATCATGGTTTTTCCAATAACAGGTTATTTTGAACATATAGATGATATAGAAAGAAAAATAGGATGCAGCACTGATAGTCATGTGTTTATTTGACTGGTAACAATTAACTGTCCAACATGAACATTTGATGGTAATGAATTGGAATTAATGCAAGATCAAATTTGGGGGGCTATTTTATGTTACAAAAAATCAAGCTAAGTTATACAAGAAGGAAGACAATGAAAAACAAAGTTGTTTGAAATGTATAAATCTCTCTACTAAAAAGGAGCCAACAGGAACATAAATAAATCTGCACTGATTTCCAACAATGTTCAGTTTTTACCCTTGGTTTTGTTTGCATTCTGTGCACAGAGATTCTGATTACAGTATTTACCTGAATCCAGGATGACCCTGAATTTAATACAACCAACCAATAATTAAATCGTATACATGGAAAATTGATTTCATAGTTTCATAGTTTCTAGGGTCGGAAGGGACCTGAGCAGATCATCTAGTCCGACCCCCTGCCATTGCAGGAAAGAGTACTGGGGTCAAACGACCCCAGCAAGGTGTTCATCTAACCTCCTCTTAAAAACCCACAGGGTAGGAGCCTGCACCACCTCTCTTGGAAGTTGGTTCCAGACCCTAGCCGCCCTGACTGTGAAATAGCGCCTCCTGATATCTAACCTAAACCTACCCTCTGCCAGCTTGTGACCGTTATTCCTGGTCACTCCTGGCGGTGCTCAGGGGAATAGTGACTCCCCCAGTGCCTGCTGATCCCCCCTGACTAGTTTATAACAGGCCACAAGATCCCCCCTCAGCCTTCTCTTTTGGAGGCTGAACAGGTTCAGGTTCACAAATTTATTTATTTGTGTTGGTATGTGTTGGGGTGGAGGGGAGTTCTTACTTAAACAGAATGCAGAAAGTACTTGGAGGAAAAAAACAGGCTTAAAAAAGGTATTTCAACCTTAATTTCCAATATTTTCTTCCCATAGCACTGGAAATGGAAAAAGGCCACTTATTTAGATGCAGGACCACAAATTAAACCTCATTTTACAGAATTACCTTTCTTAATGTTTTATATGCTTTGTACCACAGCTTGAAGTTGTGTATTATTATGGCAAAACTACCAACACTGTAAAATGAACAGAAACCATTTCTTTCCACTTCATCATGTTCTCTCTTCATTGCATTAGGACAGTTTTTGAAAGATTCTGCTATCTGAATTTGGATACGCTGGTTAGACTATCTGTTTCTCATCTTAAATAGTTTTATTTCACAAATAGTCTTATTAAAGTTATCTCCTCATGAAGTCATAAGATGGTACTAAACAGGAGTAGGTTATCCAAATCTGGCTCAAAACTTATTCACGGAAGTTTCTACACAGCTCCTTCTGGCTAGAGCAATAATGGGCAAGGATACCAGAAGTTTAGGTCTTGGCTTTGCTTGGTTATAGTTTCATAGTTTCTAGGGTCGGAAGGGACCTGAATAGATCAACAAGCCTGACCCCCTGCCCTGGGCAGGGACGAGTGCTGGGATCATAATACCCCAGCCAGATATTTATCCAACCTTCTCTTGAAGACTCCCAAAGTAGAGGAGAGCACCACCGCCCTTAGGAACCCATTCCACAGCCTAACAGCCCTAACCATAAAGTAACGTCTCCTGATATCTAGCCTGAACCTGCTCTCAATCAATTGTGGCCATTATTCCTTGTTATCCCAGGTGGTGCCCGGGGAAACAGAGCCTCACCTATTTTCCGCTTGTCCCCCCTGGTGATTTTATAGATGGCCACCAGATCCCCTCTCAGTCTTCTCTTGTGGAGGGTAAATAAATTCAGACCCTTTAGTCTATCCTCGTTGGGCCTGGCCTGCCCACCAAGCAAACACGGGCAGCAATCAGGCAGCTTGCAGCTGGCTGTTATCCCAATCAGGCAATGCTGCCTGATTGGCAAACAGGGCCCAGCTGTTATATAAAAGGACTGGGCCCTGAACAACAGAGCAGCAGTCTGCTGTCAGCCAGCCAGAGAACACCACCCAGCTGCTGACCATCATGGAGGGCTGGGGCTATGGGGAAGGAGCAGGCCCCCCTTGGCCCTGCACATTACTGGAAGCTGCACCCTGCCAGGGACAAGTGGCCTCGCAGGACTGTTTGTGGCAGGACAGTCCCCCAGAAGTGCCAGGCCAGTTACCACCCCAGTGAAAGGCAAGTATGGGGTATCTTTTCACCCCAGCCCCCACATCCCTGGTGGGTAAGATCTGGACAGGGGGAGCCCAAGCTCACTGTAAGCACTGATACAGGGCCCAGGCCAAGTGGAGGGACCTGTGGCAGCACCCAGGTTCACAGCGCAGCCTGAGGTCACAAGGGAATCAGATGCAAGGCTCCAGGGGAGTGAGGCCCTGAGCCTTGGGGAGCAATCAGGGAAGCTCCCAGGCAAGGGGGTACCGGTAAATTTGGTGAGTGTAGTAGGACAGGGCTTGGAGCCCTAGTCCTGATGTGAGGGGTTGGAGCCCAACATGAGGAGCCAGTGAGAGAGGCTTGGAGCACAGGGACATGGCTTGGAGCCCAAGCACGGGGCTCAGAGCCTGAGGATGGGGTGTAGAGCCCCGTGTGGGACCTGGGCCCAATGTGTGGGGGCCTGGGGCCCTGAGCATGTATTAGGATGTGATAAGGCCAGGTGTTAGGCCACGGGACATTTGCGAGGCAAGGGACAAGATAAGGGATGGTCAGAGTCATGTACTTGGGCCCTTGTCACTAGGGCAGATAAACAGGCAGCCTCCTGCCTGATTAGCATCTAGTAATCATTAAATCAAGGCATGGCAGGAAAGATAGGTGGGCAGTTAGCCCGTAGACAAGTGAGCAGGCCTATGTTTGCGACCAGCCCCAGGATGCCCACGTTACAAACACCTACAATCAAATTCTCCAAAAATTACTTATTTCTACTCTAATAGTTCTTACTTATCTTTTGGCTGTTCCATAAAACCCACCACACATGAAGTCACTTCATAATTTTGGCAGAAAATTAAGGGGTGGGGAGGAGAAAAAGATCACCTCACATTAACAGAAGGAGACAAAATTGTAAAAATATATTGTATCTTAAGTTCTATTACTTATGTCCATGGCTATAGTCAAATAGACAGCAAGTGTGACAGGTTTGCTGAAACTGCTACTGTTTTGAGTATTATTACACTGTAAAAAAGGTACAATACCTTTACTGTAACTGAAGGAACCACCTCTGCTCTCACCTCACTGTCAATGGCTTGCTGTGAAGAAAGATGAAAACAGAACAAGTTCAATATTACACATGAATGATTGAACACAATGAATGCAATATTAGTCTCCTACCATCTACTAGGCAAATAGGGAATTAACTGTAAAGGACTTATCACTTGAATGACAAATTAAAATACACAAAATAGATTTCTGGGCCCCCTCTTAAAAACAAAAATCTCCCTCTGAAACTGCCTGCAAAAGGATAGCAAAGGTCATGAATGTTGTGTATTTATAAAGCTAATATACTTTGAAGTATATTTTAATATTTGAAACTGTTTTTCTTGGCACAGTTCTTTTTACTCTACGTTTCTTCGCATTTTGGAAACTCCTTGGGCTATTCAGTAAGGAAAAGTAACTTCCAAGATACTTATATACACAAATATTACACACACACACACACACACACACACCCCCTTAGTTTGTAATGTATAATCATTACATTCTATCATATATTCAAAATAAAGTAGTGTAATGTAGGTCTTGAACTTCAAAAGTAAAAAATATAGCTACCTTTTTTGAAACAGAAATAAGCAACAGTAGCAAGAGATAACCATGTCCAAAGATAAAGTCACTTTGACCATTCAGTCTTTTTAAAATAAGTATATTCATACCAAACATAGTTCTACATGGACTTCTCATTTTTGGTTCTAATGATCACACACACACACCTTTATGCTTAAACAATTCTTTTCAAGATCTACACAGCAACCCTTACTATGAAAATCTGTCTGTGCCCCAGATTACTCTGTTCTGTACCCAATGATCTTTCCTACAGAACATTACTAAGCATAAAACTCGAATGTTACTTTCCCTGTGTTAATCTAATAGAAACAGCATCATGGCTTCACAGGCAGAAACACTCTAGATTCTCTGGCTCTCCTGAAGAGAGGCGGGGG